TTATATGCAAGTGAAGACAATTTTAATGTGCTCCATCTTAATCTCTGCCTATTACTTTATTCTTGTGTTTTGGATACCATTGATATTATTTTATAATTTTCTCTAAATTTTTTTGCAATAAATTGCATTATTAAATAATGTCTTTGATACTTTTAATAATTCTCTATTGTCTACATTAATAATGAGGAATGAAATTTATTAACTGGGGAGTTACTTTCATTTTTATTTTGCTGTTCTTTAATTTTCTGATAATGTGATCTTTTTTTCATATATATAGTTTTTAAATTCTTTTGAAAAACCCATTTCTCAGTCTCTGAAATATGTTGTATAGTATATATTCCTGTTCATACATTATGAAATCCTAATATTAAATCAAACTTTTCATTTGAAGCATTTGTCTTAAAAATTTGTGATTTAATCTCTAATTCTTAGGAATGTTTTAAATATGTTTCTGCTGTTGCATTATTGAATTTCATTTCATAGATATACATTAATTCAAACGGTAATTTGGGTTTTTTTAAAACTTTTAGTTATACATATTTACAGTACATTGTAATTACATTCATTGTGGTGAGTTGGTACATGTACATAACATGTCAATTTTTTTCTCCTTAGAAATTAAATTTTTGTTATTCTGAACATGTTCTATTGGAGTGAATATTTGTGATTTTGAGAAGACTGTGTACTAGGTAGTTATGTGATAAAGTGCTATGCAACATCCATTGAATCTCTGTGAAACATGATGTTAATTTTAACTGTTCCACTGTCTTCCTTCAGTTACTGATGGAGTTGTTTTGAAATCTTCAGACATGGTTGTGAATCCTAGATTTTTCTCTTTGCATTCATGTTTTGTCTCATGTAATTTGATACTCTGTTAAGTAGAATATATATTGAGGACTGTTGTTTTTAGAGAATCACCTGTTTTATCATTTGATCACTATAATCATTAATTACTTGAGGTATAAATTGCATAATATCAAATTAACTTCTGCAGATTTTGTTGAAGCACTGGTAGACTAGTGTGTCTTTTTTGCATAGCTTCCTGTGTAATATATCTTTTTCAGTGTCAACATAACAACCACTCCTGTCCAGGTGGGTGTAGCATTGGCAACACAACTCAGATATCTAGACACTAATCAGCTCTGTTATCTGTTCTGACAGTCTAACATGTTTTCCTGATGGCCAATTTAGAGTTTGACCACTGCTTACTGGGAGTCTGCATCTCCTGTTTGTAGTCTTGCTGCTTTACTTATTGGTATTTACTTACGTGTAAATAATGTTTCATCTTTTCATATAGGAATGCAGACAAACAGATATAAATTATTGTGTATATATTCTTAATGGTAACTTAGTGTTTAAATACTTTGCAGTACATTTTATTTTCAAAAATTGTTAGTGAGATTTAATAACAATGTAAATACAGGAAATTTGTGAGGGTTGAATCCCTACAGCACCCTTGAATTGTGAAAAACTGAATTTCAGATATGGCCAGAAAAATGCCTGTATATGCCTATTTTTATAGTTCAAACCCTAAATATGCAGTGTATCCTACAGTTATACAATTTAATTTAATAAAATACTGTATCAATAAATAAAGCTTTAGGAGGTTCAGGGTGTTTTGCCAGCATCTTAGGGAATCTTAGGGCTTTAAAAAGAATAAAACCAAGAACATTGGAGACAGCTACATGCAGTATAGCACCCTGGTATGATGTGCAAATGTTAGTGCAGCTGCAAGAGTTAGGTTACAGGGGAGCAGCCAGTCAGCAGTAAGGAGAGCTGAATTCTCTCAGATTGCTACTTGCAGAGTTCCACCATAAAAAGAATTGCAGAAGATATTTGTGTTTTCCACAGAACTGCAAGGGTTTCCATGAACAATTGTTAGTTAGGTTTTAAGGAAAAACCTGCAAATGAGTGAAGCTGTGAACTCCAAACTGACTTTATGGGGTTATACAGTATCCTAGGAATGTTCAGAAAGTTTCATCATTGGGCCTTGGGCAATGCATGAGAGTATCCAGGTGATTGAAACCCTACCTGACTCAAAATTCACTTGCCCCAATGATATATGAATCAAGTGCAAGGTATTTTCTCATCCATTCCACTGGTCATGTGGTTCAGGATTTTTCAGATTTCAGGAGTAATAGTACAGTGTTTTCTGTAGACAGTGACAAGAATTCAGTGGTCTGCATATTCTGGTAAACTCCAAAGTAAAGGAAATGAATATAGAGTGTATCAATTCTCCATTTTGCTTAAGTATACAGAACTTCCTTATTGTGTTTTTCCACACTTCCGTTTTTCTTCAGTGATTTTCTCAAGAAAGATTTGGTTCTTTTCTGTTTAGTGTTTCCTCTTGAGATAGATATATTGCAGTCATTGAAATCCCAGTCATTTTATGGCAGTCCTCCTGCATTGGCCTCCCAAGTGCTGGTATTACAGGTGGGCACCACTACAACTGGCTGAAGTTTTCATTTTGTGCCTAATGGCTTTGTGATATGCTTGGTTTTCAATGCATATAAAACACTTTTTTCATCTCTCCCCTCATTACCCTCCCATATCCCCTAGAATTATTTTTTTCTTTTTCTGCTACTGGAATTGAACTCAGGGCCTTGCATTTGTGAGTCAGGTGTGGCACCACAGAGCTAAATTCCCAGCCCAGAATTTCTTATATCTGAAAGCAAGGTGACCATTTGGTGACACTCAGCTATAAGATAAAATGTCACTGTTTCCCAAGAAGTTAAACTGTCATTATTTCTTACATAGAAAACTCCCAAAAACTCTTCCAGAAGACTTCTAGGCTTAATTGACATATTCAGTAGAGTAGCTGGATACAAGGTCAATAGTCAAAATTCAATAGCCTTCTTGTATACAAATAACAGACTCACTGACAGAGAAATTAAGGAAACAATTCCTTTCACAATGGCATCCAAAAAAATAAAATATTTGAGTCAATCTAACAAAGGAAAGCAAAAGACCTCTACACTGAAAACTACAGCACTCTTTAAAAGGAGATCAAAGAGAATATAAGAAAATGGAAAAACATCCCTTGCTCCTGGGTAGGAAGAACCAACATACTGAAAGTGGCCATACTTCCAAAATTGCTATACATATTCAGTGCAATCCCAATAGAAATCCCAACATTATATTTCACAGAATCAGAGAAAACAATCCAAACATCCATTTGGAGCTAGAAGAGACCTAGAATAGCAAAATCCATTCTAGAAAACAGAGACATGACAGGGGGTATCACAATTCCCACCTTAAAACTATACTACAAAGCTGCTGTGATAAAAACAGCATGATAGTGGCAAAGAAATAGACCCAAGAATCGGCGGAATAGATTAGAAGATGCAGAAACAACTCCAGACATTCTCAGCTACCTCATCTTTGACAAAGGAGGCAACCACCTTCAGTGGAGGAAAGATAGCCTTGTCAAAATGTGTTGGAAGAACTGGATCTCAACCTGCCAAAGATTAAAACTAGACCCCTATCTTTCACTATACACTAAACTAAAATCCAAGTGGATTAAAGATCTAAATATTAAAACAGAAACACTAAACCTCCTGGAAGATAAGTTAGGTAGAACTCTAGAAGACACTGGCATAGGAAAAGACTTTATGAACAAATCCTTAGTAGCACAAGAACTAGCACAAAGATTCAACAACTGTGATCTCATCTTAAAAAGCTTCTACACTGCAAGAGAAACCACAAAAGGAGCTAAGAGACAACCTAAAATGTGGGAAAAATGTTTTACCAGCTGTTCCTCAGATAGGGGTCTATTATCTAGAATATATAAAAAACTCAAAAAGCAATCAGACCCCCAAATATAAAGACCCAATTAAAAAATGGGCATCTGAAATGAACAGACATTTCTTAAATAAGTAAAAGCAGCAAATGAATATATTTTTAAAATATTCAGTATAATTGGTCATTCAAGAGATACAGATGAGAATAACCCCACCCCAGAAAGAATGTCTGCTATCATAAAATCAACCAATAACAAATGCTTGCAGGGCTGTGCAGAGAAAGGAACTCTTCTCCATCATTTGGTAGGAGTGCAGACTGCTGCAACCACTACAGAGATCAATATGGAGGTACCTCAAAACACTAGGATTAGAGGTCCCATTTGACCCAGCTATCCCTCTGCTGCATACCTTTCCAACAGAGTTAAAACACCACAGTGATATATGCTCACCCATGTTTATAGCAGCACAACTTGTAATAGCTGAAACTTGGAAACAGCCCAGTTGCTCATCAAGTGGAGACTGGTTATAGAAAATGTGGTTTGTCTATAAAATGGAGTATTACTCAGCCATAAAAAATGCAAAACTAGAAATACGTATAGCTGAATGGATGCACATTGAGGCCATACACTTTAGTGAAATAAATAGGGCACACGTGTAAATACCAAATAGTTTCTCTGGTGTGAAAAACTAAGTGAGTGTAAATAAGGTTCAAATTGTATAATTGATAATGTGAAATAGGAAGAAAAGGGCTATAGGAGTAGGGGCAGTGGGAAGTGTAGGGGAAAGGGAAAATAGCTGGGTGTGGTGGTGCATGCCTATAATACCAGCACTCAGGAGGCTGAGGCAGGAGGGTCGCTGTGAATTTGAGACCAGCCTGGGCTACATAGTGAGTTCCAGGTCAGTCTCAACTACATAGTGAGACCCTGTCTCAAAAAACAAACAAAAAAAAGGGAAAAAAATATGAGAAAAGGAAAAAAGGCTTTGTAGATAGGGAAAGGTAGAGGGGGTGAATGGAGCATGGGAATGGGGAAAAAATAAGAACCAAGATACATCATGTAAAGGTACAAAATCCCAATGATGAATGTAACTAAAAAATACCAGTAAACTTAATGAAAATGCCACCCTTTCCCTCTTTTCAAGTCCAAAGACTTGTTCTTATAAAACTTTTTCTATTCATATTTTAATTATTATTCATAAACCTTATTTGACATTCAGTTATCCTTTTTTTTTTTTTTTTTTTTTTTTTTTTGGTACCGGGGATCAAACTCAGGTCCTTATGCTTGCAAGGCAGGCAGCATCAATTATGCTTTTTAATGAAACCAAATTCAAGCTTCAAAATGCTGCCTAAGTACAATCAATTGAAGGACTCAATGCCATGAAAATAAGATTTGAAACGAGCTATTATTATCTATGTTGTAGCAAAATCATTCATTAGATATTTGTCTGCCCCAGTATTTAGTGAATGGTGATCTCCTAGGCTCCCTCTATAAGCTCTGCTTTAGAAACAATGCACAGTTGCCCTTCCAGTGACCCAGCGGAAGAACCAGTGCTCCTCTTCTTCTTTAGCAGTGTCAATCTAGCATCAGAATTGCTGTCTGAAAAAATGTGCATACACATGGATTTAATGACAAAGACATGGAGTTAATATTTTAAGGATTCAGCCCCATTCTTTGCTTTTGCTTTGTTTTGTTTTTGAGACAGGGTCTCACTATGCAGTTCAGGATGGCCTTGAAGTCACTTCATAGCCCACACTAGTCTTGGACTCATGACATTCCTCCTGCCTTAGCCTCCAGAGTGCTGGGATTACATACATGTACCACCACACCTGGCTCTCAGTTCAGCTTTTTATGAGAGGAGTTGAGATATCCCAGGCTGTGACTCTCAACTTTTCTTCAAGAAATATATGTGTGATCATTTAGGAAGCAGTGACCTTTGAGGATGTGGCTGTGAACTTCACCATGGAAGAGTGGGCTTTGCTGAATGTATCTCAAAAGAAGCTCTACAGAGATGTGATGGGGGAAACCTTTAGGAATATAGCTGCTATAGGTAAGGATGACACCACTTTCTCATTTATACAATCAGAACATTGTTGTTCTTCAGTGAAGTTTCATTAAATAGAATGTGAAAGTGTTTTGAAGAATGTCTCAGACCTTGTTACATTATACTATGAATCTAACTGGGAATGTATTTATTTTATGTAAACAGTGTCTCCTTATATTTCTGTGTCTGTAATTTAGGAAGAGCCAGGGATAAGCAGGAAGTTGAAGAAGAGTACAAAAATAACTGGAGAAATCTAAGGTAATTTGCACTCAAAAGGAAAAGGAATGTTCCTCACGAGTCAGTGTGTGAACAGAAATATCACAACCAGGGAAACATGGCCATGTTCACATTTATTTAATCTCACAAATACTCTCCAAAGATGTATATAGTTTTAGTATATATACTCTGACTACTGAATACGGAAATATTCTAGTATAAGAAACTGAGTTAGTACTGATATACAAGTTGCACTCTCTGACATATTTAAAAAGTCCTTTCATAAACATCTTCATGAAAATTATGAAAGTACATTCAGATATTGTATACAGGTGTATATGAAAAGAAATGAATTTTGAATTTTGACAGAAACCCATCTTCAGGATATCTGTGTATACACATTAATATGAGACATTCAGTATCTAAAAAATTGCTAACCTTGAAACTGTATTCAAAGTTCAAATGAATGCTAGTGTTGTAACAACAAGTGTTTTCAAGCTAACCTCCAGAAAATTGAGTCTGTTTGTGTTTTAAAATTCTTAGAAGGCACCCTCCATCATTTGTGGGAATGTTAAGTATAGTCACTATAAAATCAGAACACAGACACCTCAAAAGGTAAAAATAGAAGTTCCACTTGATCCAAGAACACTTCTCCTGGGTATGGTCCCAAAAGAGTTTAAAAATTATCATATTATACTGACATACGCACTCAGATACTCAAAATGGGACAATTTATATCATTTAAGCCCTGGAATCAGCCTAGACATCCGTCATTGGATACATGGATAATGACATTTTTTGATGGTTTAGTGATGGTGCTTTCCCCAGCGCTCTGGGAAACAGATTCAGCAGGATGACATGTTGAGCTCACCCTGAGCAATTTAATCATCAGTGAGAGTCTCTCAAAATAAATTAGCTGGAGATGTGATTCAGTGCTAAGACCTGTATTTAATTCCCAGCACTGAAAAGAAAAGAAAAAAAAATGTGTTATATGACATGGGTCTTCATCCTATAGTGTTAAGTGAAATAAGTCAGACACAGAATGTGAAATGTTACTTGCTTGCTTTTATGTGAAAGGCCAAAACTATAAATTAGTAAAATAATGGAGATGCAATTTAAAAAGGGAAGCCTGACTTTTTGGAGATGGTAAATACAAATGGGGTAAGGTGAGAAGGGTAAGAAAAAGGTAGCTATACATACATACCAGTTGCCCAAAGTGAAACTAAGCCTTCAGTACTGCAAAATATACCAATTTTAAAATTCCCAAATGAAAACCACTCTTTGGAATGGCCATTTGAAGATATCTCCAGGGCATTCAATTCCTTCATTCATTATAAGACTTTCTTAGGAGGCATCAAACCAGAACTTGTAAATCATTAATATGGAGACCCATTTATTGCAACTGTTTTTTCTTTTTGTTTTTCTTTACAGAGATGAAGAGATAGAGAAATGCTTTCAAAATAGAGGTTGGAATCAATATAAAGAAATATTCCTTTGGACTCCAGATGCTAATGTGGACATGAAACAAGCTACTTTAAAGCCAGCTGAAAGCATTGATTGCAGAAAGCCCCTGATTGAGCACTTGTCACTAAATGTGCCCATCATAGATCACACTGCACTGAAAATGTATGAGTACTTGGGATTGGAAGAGAAGCTATACAAATGTGATGAGCATGGAAGAACCTGTGATGATTTCCAGTCCTTTCAGAGGGATGCAAGGACAAAGACTGGAGAAAAACCCTGTGGATATGATCAATGTGGGAAATCGTGCTGTGATCTTAGCAAAAGAACTCAGCTTAGAGAGAAGACCTCTGTGTATAAGAAAACTTTGAAAGCCTCTAGCACACGTCATGATGTTCCGATCCATGAAAGAAATCACAATGGGAGGAAACCCTACATATGTAGGCAATGTGGGAAAGCTTTCAGTAGGCGTCAACATTGTAAACAACATGAAAGAATTCACACTGGGGAGAAACCCTATGTATGTAAGCAATGTGGGAAAGCTTTTAGTACCCAAGGTTATTGTAAAATACATGAAAGAAATCACACAGGGGAGAAACCCTATATATGTAAACAATGTGGGAAAGCTTTTAGTACACAAGATTATTGTAAAAAACATGAAAGGAATCACATAGGAGAGAAACCCTATGTATGTGAGCAGTGTGGTAAAGCTTTTAGTACACATCGTGAGTGTCAAAAACATGAAAGAACTCACACTGGGGAGAAACCCTATGTATGTAAACAATGTGGGAAAGCTTTTAGTACACAAGATTATTGTAAAATACATGAAAGAATTCACACTGGGGAGAAACCCTATGTATGTAAACAATGTGGGAAAACTTTTAGTACACAATGTCATTGTAAAAAACATGAAAGAAATCACACTGGGGAGAAACCTTATGTATGTAAGCAATGTGGTAAAGCTTTTAGTACACAAGGTTATTGTAAAATACATGAAAGAATTCACACAGGGGAGAAACCCTATGTATGTAAGCAATGTGGGAAAGCTTTTAGTACACAAGGTTATTGTAAAATACATGAAAGAAATCACACAGGGGAGAAACCCTATGTATGTAAGCAATGTGGGAAAGCTTTCAGTCAGCGTGAGCATTGTAAACAACATGAAAGATACCACACTGGGGAAAAACCTTATGCATGTAAGCAATGTGGGAAGGCTTTCAGCAGACATAGTCATTGTCAAATACATGAAAAAACTCACACTGTGGATAAACCCTATGTATGTAAGCTGTGTGGGAAAGCCTTTATTATACAGCGTTATTATAAAATACATGAAAGAACTCATACTGGGGAGAAACCCTATGTATGTAAGCAATGCGGAAAAGCTTTTAGTACACAAGATTATTGTAAAAAACATGAAAAAATTCACACAGGAGAGAAACCCTATGTATGCAAGCAATGTGGGAAAGCATTTAGCACACAATGTTGTTGTAAAAAACATGAAAGAACTCACACTGGAGAGAAACCCTATGTATGCAAGCAATGTGGGAAAGCTTTTAGTAAACAAGATTATTGTAAAATACATGAAAGGCATCACACTGAGGAGAAACCCTATGTATGTAAACAATGTGGGAAAGGTTTCAGTCACCGTGAACATTGTAAGCAACATGAAAGATATCACCCTGGGGAAAAACCTTATGTATGCAAGCAATGTGGGAAGGCTTTCAGCAGACACAGTTATTGTCAAATACATGAAAGAACTCACACTGGGGGAAAATCTTATGTATGTAAGCAGTGTGGAAAAGCTTTTACTACACAAGGTTATTGTAAAATACATGAGAGAAATCACAAGGGAGAAACCCTATGTATATAGACAATGTGGAAAAGCTTTCTGCATTCCTGGTGTTGCCAAAGATGTAAAAATTTAAAATAGGGAGAAACCATATGTATATAAGCATTGTAGGAATGCTTTCAGTAGACACATGTATTATCAAATACATGAAACAAGTCTCACTGGGGAGAAACTATATAAGCCTTTTTTGAAAATCCCATGAAAATTTCTTGTGTAGTAGAGACCTGTAGGAATAATTAATACAAAAAGCTTGATATCAATATTTCTCCATAAAATTTCCAGAAAATACAATCCCAGATAGCCTAAAGTAAATGCATTGTTTTTCAGTAAACCACTTAAATATCTGATTGTGTACCTACAGTGTTTAATATAAAAATACTGAGTTGATGTAATTAGGTTTTTTTGTTTTTGCTTTTGTTTTTTTTAGTTTGAGCTTAATACATTACCTTTTAACTAAGGATGGAGAATTGAAATGTATTTTTTTGCTTTCAAGTAGTGTTAGTATTTATGTAGTTTTTATTTAATATTTACAATTGGGAGGTCTAGGCCACTAAAAAACTAAAAAACTTAATTTTATCAATTGCTATTTGTAATTAGGATTATGCCACTACCTTTGTTATATATTTTTTGATGTATGCTCTGTATTCTGTGTAACAAAAGATATTTTTAAATTTTATACCATATTTTATATTATGACATAATTTCAGAGACTTCTGAACATGTTTTTTTACAGTTGATTTTCACTCAACTTATAGTTAGCACATTGTTCCTCATTCTATGACAAGATACCTGCTTATAGCCCAACATTGTATATTATATTGTGTATATAATTTTGCATATTTTTCTTTGGTATTAGAGTAATATTATCATTTACATAAAATATTTTTTTACCATCAAAATTTTTTGTTTATATTGCGATGAGTTTTAATTGGTGGTAGTTTTTTACCATATGTAGCAAAAACAACCCAAACTGCCATGAGTTTGCCACAGACTAGGAAGACTGAAAGTTGTCCCCAAAAGTATATCATGAGTTATAGTAATTGCTCAAAAATTATAAATGATGGTATATTTCATCAGTAACAACACTTTCAAAGGAATTTTTGTCAGGAGTGGAGTTGTTTTGGGGAAAATTATTCCTATTACATGTAATGAAACAAATGCCTTTATTCCTGGATGCTGTGATGCCATTCTGTCTTTAGTAATCATATTTTTTGAAACAGGGTCTCACTGTATAATTCAGACTGGCCTCAAACTCACTACATAGTCCAAGCTGGCCTCTCACTCATGATGATCCTCCTGCCTCAGCTTCCCATGTGCTGGGATTACAGGCATGTGCCACCATGTCTTTCCATCATGATTATTTTGCCTATTAAACTGAAATAATAGCATAAAGGAAAACCTAACTTATGAGAGGTATCAGTTTTGTAGAAAGTGGAATTTACTAAATCATAATTCCAATTGTTTTCCCCAATTTTAGAGGTGAATTTATACAGTGCCATTTTTCATTATTCATAAGGACCACTATCTGATATTTGGGGGGTGGGATGATTCCAGGGATCAAACTCAGGACCTTCCTCTTGGGAGGCAGGTGGCAGAAGCACTGAGCTAAATTCCTGGCCCACTATCTGATGTTTGATGTATGTGAAAAGTGCCTTTAAACACATAGACCAGCCCCATGTGTGTACATGTGTCCCAGTCCGTCCCCTGTATTTTAAAATATCTTGTTTGTTTTTGGTACCAGGGATCAAACCCAGGACAATATGAGGCAGGTGGCACCACTGGGCTAAATCCCATCCTTAAGTATCTTTTTTAACATTGAAATACTTTATAAAATGTTTTATATTGTGCTCTTAACTGCTCAGTTTCTAAATGAGTTACATCATTACAAACTCATGGCATCATAAAAATAAATGAGCAATTCTTTTTTTTTTCTTTTTTTTTTTTTTTGGTTTTTTGAGACAGGGTCTCACTATGTAGTTGAGACTGACCTGGAACTCACTGTGTAGCCCATGCTGCTCTCAAACTCACAGCCTCCTGAGTTCTGGGATTATAGGCATGTGCCACCACGCCCAGTTAGCAATTCATTTTTAAATGCCCATAATGCAGTGAACATTATAGCTTGCCCTAATCTTAATTATGCTTAGACACAAATTACTCACCAGTTGTGTAATATTTTGAAGTATCTGATATGATTAATGGAATATAATATACTGCAGAGTACAATGAGTTTTCATACACTACAACATATGCCCAGCTTCCCTGCAGCAAATTTCTGCTTCTTACCATCACCAGGAAGATATGAAGTACATGTTGTTCTTCCAGATTGTGATGGAGTATTAAAACTACAAGATGTTTTATCCTGAGCACATTTAGTTTCCCTTTATTTTACCATAAAAAAGAAATCTTGCTGGGCCTGGTGATGTATGTCTATAATGCCGATAACTCAGGAGGCATACATGAGAAGAAAACAAGATTGGGGCCAGCCTATTCAATTTAGTGAGATACTGTCTCAAAATATATGTTAAAACTTCTGCAGGTATAGCTCAGTAATTTGGGACTCCTAGGTGCACTCCCCAGAATCAAAATTATTTTAATACAAACCACACACATCAGTGTTTGTCCTTTTCCCACTTAACATATAAAAGTCTAATGCAATGGTGCATTCCTTTAGTCTCAGCATCAGAAGAGGCTATGACAACCCAGCTGTCTGGTGGTTTGGGAGCATCTTAGGTACATTTCTTAGCAAACTGAAAGAGTTCTCTATATCTGCATTTCAAATTCAAGGAAAAAATTGGTTAATATTAACCTAGGATGCTCCAAAAAATCACTATTGCAAATCATGGTTCTTTGGTCAGAAAATAGTCTTTTCATAGTAATATTTGTATAGCAGCCATCCATATATATGCCTGCATCATAGATTAAAATGTAAACAGTGAAACATGAAAAAGACAATCATTCCTTGGTCTGAACATAGAGACATGAAAAAATTAGTTTTCTCAATGCTGTTCCTGTTTTGGTAGAAAATAAGGTGAAATGGCACAACAAGCAATTATATAAAATTTTAAAACTGCACAGACAGAAGCAAACAACTGAGTGAAGAAATATCCTACCAAATTGAAAATTTTTCTATCTTCTCGTCAGTATTAATACCTGGAAAAAACATGCAGATGAAATGAATACACATTTCTCAGTACAAATTGCCAATAAAATATCTGGAAAAAATGTTCAGCATTTTTGCCCAATAAAGAAATGCATATTGAAATAACATCTTTATTCCAGAAAGAGAACATATCACTAAGAACTAAAAAAAGAAAAAAAAATGAGGCTGCAAGGGAAAAAGGAACCATTTACCATCATTGGTAGAAATGTAAAATAGTTCAACCACTAGGAAAGTATTTTAAAAACTAAAAATACTAATTCTGTTCAATATAGTGATTCCTCTTGTGACTTCCCAAAAGAGCTAAAAGTACCATATTTTAGTGATCCCTGCATATTCCTGTTTGCAGCAGCAATACTCAATTTTTCTGTTGGGCAGCAGCAGTAAGCCCTGTTCTGTCATCCACCAGATATCAAGGTCAAACATGTTCTCGTAAGTGTACTCTATTCTCTATTTCATAAATTATATGTGGTATTTTATACTTTTGTTATAAAACAAGCTCTATGTTAGATTACTTTCCCTGACTATAGGTCAATATAAGCATATTTAGCATGTAACTATAGCAGGGAGCAGGAGCATAGCTATAATGTTTATTACATTCAGTGTATTACATGCATATTCAATGTATTTTATTTCAGCTTTTCCTTTTTTTTTTTTTAAACCAGGGATGAAACTACTCAGGATCCCACACTTGCCAGGTAGGCACTGTGCTGCTAAACTAAATCCCTGCCCATTTCAACTATTTGAACCAAATATTCCACTTTGTATCTTGAGGAACACTTGTAACCACTTCTATTTTTTGATGTATTCTCTCCAGGGTTCAATGCTATTAGTGTACTACAGTGGAACATATGTATATACATGTATATAAGAGTTCCTTTTGCTACTTTTCTCATGTTATTAAGGATTTTTTAGATTTACTTGTATAATCAGAGGCTAAATACTTCAACAATGGGTGCTAAGGGCTTAAACCTGGAGAAACACTGACAGCTCAAATGAAGCTAGAAGCTTAAGAATATAAACCAATAAGTCAACTTCAGCCCAAGGGGGAGGCTTTGAAGACCTATAAGGAACTACTATTAAAGGTCTGTGTCCAAAGGCTGAACACTGTAGTCAGATGTTCTTGGGTGAAGAAAACCAGAAATCACACCTGTTTAAGATAATTCAATATACAGAAGCTTGTCCCTTCCACTTTTTTTTTAATTTCACTGCCCAGTACTCTTGGGTGACACTGAAGCCAGACTGACCAGACTCTCCTTCATGTGGTCCACCACATGAAGGTCTACCTGGTTATGGCTGGGCTGACCTCATTATCCCACAATGGGTTGGTTGAGGTCCACCTGACCAGCTGCCAGCTGGACTGACTGACCAGATGCTCCCTTGCCAGGTCCAGTCTGCAGCCCAATTGATGGACTGGGCCCACCCTCATCATGTTTTTCAAGGTCTGTCTGGTCAGTTCTTGGCTGGATTGATTGACTGGGTTCTCCTGCATTGGGTCTGTTGAGGTCCACCCTGTCAGTCTGTGGTCTGATTGACCAGGCCCTCCTTCACTCTGTCCACTGAGGTCCACTCTATCATTCTGCAGCTGAACTGACAGACTGAGTTCTCCCTTTCCAGGCTCACTGAGATCAACTGAGGTCAGTCCACAGTTGTACTGGCTCTCACTCTCTGGGTCCAGCGAGTTCAACCTGGGCCAACTTGTGGCCATACTGAGTGGGCTTTCCTTCCCTCAGTCTGACAAGGTCAACCTGGACACTCTGCAACCAGACCAGGCTCTCCTTTGGGGGTTCTTCCAAGGTCCAGCAGATCAGTCCATGGCCAGGCTGACTGGGCTTTCCCTTGCCAGGTCTACCTAGGTTGACCCAGGTCAGTCCCTAGCTAGACTGGGTCTGATGAGGTTGAACTAGATCAGTCTTCAGCCAGACTGACTAGGCTCTCCCTTGCCAGGTCCACTAAGGTCCACCTGGACAGTCTGGGGTTGGACTTTCTGGGCTGTCCTTTCCTGGGTCTACAAATGTCCAGCCAAATTAGCCATTTCTAAGGAAGGCTATTACTTCCCTACAGTTGCTATAGGTCCATATTTTGGCAAAGGCCATTTTCTGTGTTCCTGGGAAGCTTGGCTCAACCTCACCACTGCCATCACAAACTCCACCCCACCACCCCACAAATAGAACAGATACCTGATATCCTGGTTGATCACAGCTGAGGTGGATATTTAATGCCTCTGTCTTTAAAAATCAATCACATATTTCTTTTGGTTTCTCTTTCTCTGTCTCAATCTCTAAAAACTATTTCTTATCTTAATCTTGTTTTGGTGGTAGACATACAGGGAATTGTAGACCATGCCTTTACAATGAACTACGTTCCCAGGCCTTTATTTAATTTTTATTTTGAGACAGAGTCTCACCAGGTCACTGAATGAACCCAGTTGGGCTCAAACTCCTGATCCTCCTGGCTCAGCTTCCCAGAGTGCTGAAATTACACGTTCGCTCTGCCATACCTGAGTACTTATATTTTGTGCTCTTAATACTGCGATTTCTACCTAGGAACTAAGCCAAATTAAAGCAAAATTAGAAACTAAGACCAAAGGACATATACAGATATTTTCAAGCAAGACTGACTGGGCTCTAC